CCTCATGGGGCACAAGAAAGAGGCTCTACGGGGGGGGGTCTGACTGTGTACGGTCTGTGCTGCTGTCGGGCTGTCAGCGCTGCTGTCAGGCCACTGTGTGCTGTCGGGCTGTCAGGCAGCTGTCAGGCTGTCACGTTAGGGCCTGACAGCGACGGAGCGCCTCGCCTGTCAGGCTCTGCTGTCAGGCTGTCAGATACGTGCTGTCAGGCTGTCAGAGAAAGTGCTGTCAGCGCTGTCAGGCTGTCGGGCACTGTCAGGCGCTGTCCGGGGTTTGCTGTCAGGCTGTCAGACCAGGGCTCAGCCGCCTCACCGCGCACGGAGCGCGAGGCTGCGCGTGGCGATGAGCGGCCGATGCTAGCGCCACACGGGCCGGCGCTGTTATTTTGTGCTAAGCAGAGTGTTGATTATTATGCGGTTGTTCCTGGCTCCCGCTCGGCACCGGTGGCTGAGGCGTGAGGGGAAGAGCATGTAGGACATGGAGGTCATCTGAACGGATGTGTAGACTCGCTCTCGCTCATGGTGTTCGCGCTGATTTCCATGTAGTACGGCTCGTCAGTTTTGGCACACGAGCAGCGAGAAATGGGCGGGGGGGGCTCAGCCGTGCAAAAAGCATCAATTAATAATAGTAGTGAAGAAATAATGCCCGGCCGTCCATGAAGTCCGTCTCGATCTGGAGGACCCCGTGAGGACCAGATCAGGTTCGCATTGTCGTAGCCGGAGGGGATGTTGACCTTTAGCTCTTGTGGGGCCACCTTTGCGCTTTGGTTTTTTCCCCACTGACCACTCGGGCAACTTTTACCAGATGCAAAGTTGCGCCTTACCATTCGGGCAAATTCGATTGCATTTTACCACTCGGGCAAACTCGATGAAACGGGCGGACGGAAAACGCGTTTGCGGCAGCTCGCCCGAGAGCTATGTATGAAGCGGCCGGCGCGCCACCGCAGCTCACCGATGGAGCTTGCGGAGCGGCTCAATCCACTGGCGCAGCAGCATCGCGACCCATTCTCCAAGCACGGCCTCTGGCGTTGCGATTGCACAGAGAGCGAGCAATAGTCGCCAAAAACACTGATCTGTGTGCAGCGGATCTCCATGGCGGTCGCGCCCAGCGAAGGGACAACCGCAGGCCTCGGATGCTCGCCCGGAAGCGGACCCACCGTGCGAGTTGCAGACCCGGAGGAGGCCGACCCAGCTCACACCCAGTGAGGCCATGCCCAGGGTCAGGCATAGAAGGGGGGTGTTTTTCCGTCCGTCCCCCGTCCCCCTCTTCCTGTCTCTCTTCGCAGTCTCTCTCCGATTCTTGTTGCGACCTTCATGCCCGACGCCGCCGCCGCCTGCCGGTCCCTTGTTCTCGCGGCTTCTTTCGCCTTTCGGCGCAACTCCGCCCTCCTCGCAGCATATCTTGGCCCCTCGAGGACGAGGTCTATCGAGCTCTCCTCGCGCAAGGACGACTCTTCTGACGCCCACTGCGATCATTTAGTTGCGCACTTGGAGCACTTGGAGTGCAGTTATCAACCGCACATCCAGGGCTTGCCCATCCCGGAGTGGTTCGACTCCACATAAATCCGAGACGGTGATGGGAGGGTCGTGTGGTGGTCTCAGGCCCAGTGAGGTAGTGCATCTGACTATCCCGGATCCTGCTGAACAAGTTCCTCTTGTAGCTCGATCGGTCACACCGCCATCGCCGTCGGGCGGGGAGAGGGGGGACGACACTGCCTCGGCAGCGTGCACCTCGATCCTGTACCGTGTTTGTTATGACCCCCCCCAATGAACACACCAGTGAGGGAGGGCGAGACGATCGAGGGGTCCCGTACCATGCGGAATCGACCCTATCAAGTGCTCAAGTACTCAAGGAGTGGTCTTTCTTCTGGTGAGCCTGTGTGTGTGCCAGTCCGCGCCAGTCTGCGCCCTTGTCGTGCCAGTGTGCTGTGAGAGAGGCTTGTATCTTAAGAATTCTTCTGTTGGACGCCTGACGTAGCCCGCCTGCCCGCGCGGCACGACTCGCACCACCCAAGCTCAAACCATCATGTCGGCAGCTATGTCGGGCGAGCAGGAGGTGCGAGATTTTCTCAAGGCGCAGGGGATGGAGGAGTACACTTCGGCGCTGATATACAACGGGTTTTACATGTCGGTCGACTCCCTGCGGGAGGCGACGTATGAGGAGCTGCTTGACTGCAACGTCAAGCCTCTGCACGCGAAGCTGATCCTGTCGAGCCTCCAGCAGAGCGCTCACAGCGCGCCGCTCTCGGAGGAGGAGCAGGAGCGCCAGCGCCTCGCCTCCTTCCTCAGCATGATTGGCTGTGCGGGCTCGGAGGAGGCGCTCGTGGCGGGCGGTCTGGGCTCGCTCTCGCGGCTCAAGGGCCGACCCGAGGAGGATCTAGTGAAAGCTGGCGTGAAGCCGGTGCACGCGCGGCTGATCATGTCCAGCCTGGACACGGTCCACGGCGACGGCGCGGCCGGCGGCGGGCTGCGCAGCGAGACGCCGCGGGCAGGCGGCGCCTACAGCACCGCGGACGGGGACGACGGCATCTCGCTGCTGGGACGGAAGCGGAAGAGCGACCCAAAGAACTGGCGCTTCCTCCTGCTCACCGGCATGCTGCTCACGGCGCTCGCGCTCGGATGGCTCGCCGCCTTTGGACCGCCAGGAGGAGGAGCCGCGGCGGCGGCACCGCCGCCGGCCGGGGGACTGCAGCAGCTGCACAAGGGCAAGGGCGGCGGCGGTAAAGGCTTCGGAGGGCTAAAGCGGAGGGGCGCGAGGGGCGGAGAGCGGCGCAACGCTACGCACGCGTGGGTCGAGGGGGTGACCAAGAAGCCGTCGTGACGCTCGCTCGGACGCTCTCTCGCGCCGCTTCCTGTGCGGGCTGCTGCCCTCGTGGCCTCGCGACAACCGGGCTGGCTCTCTCGCCTTGCGAGCCGGCGCCGCGAAGCACCGGGAAGCGAGGCAGGGACGGCTGTGGAATCTGTGGTCGAGAGACGAGAGGTGAGAGCGAGAGAGCCCCGAGAGGGGCTCTGATTTGAGTGTGTGCGTGGGGCGCGCGCGGTGGCGGTTTGGCCCGCCGCGGGAGCGGGACCGCGTGACCCTCCCACCCGGGTTCGAGTTTGTAGAGCGGTCTGTAACTGACGGAAGATATAAATATGGCACATCGTTCGCACCCGGTCGCCCCTCGTGCTATCACCCTGCCTCGTCTATGTGCTGGCTGCTGCCACGCTGTTTCGGAAGTGTGCGCTGGCTCGCCGCCGCACCCCCGCCCCGTCCGCGTCTCTCCCCGCCCTTCCGTCCTGTTTCATGGCCGGCGCGGCGCCGCTGCTCGCGGCGGCGCGCGTGTGGCCCTAGGTGTGGCCGCGCCCACGGCGGGCTCAGGCCGAGGATGCGGTGCAGCGCCGCTAGCAGGTCCGCGGTCTCGCCGCCCTCGAGGTCGTGCACGCGCGGCAGGTTGAAGTAGAGCGCGTCGCTGCGTCTCTGCGCGGTGCAGTTCTTCCGCTCGTACAGGCGGGGCCTCGCCGCCAGCACCTCTTCCGCGCGGCAGCCTCTGCGCAGGCCGAGGTGGACGCACGCCTGGTCGAGCAGCGGCCGGCTCGCGCTCCTCAGCCAGCGGTGGCCCTGCTGCCGCACCTCGCTCGCGGCGGCGTACCGCCCTCCCGTCGCCGCGGCGAGCGCGCGGTACGTCCCCGTCGCGTGCCCGCAGTTCAGCGACTCGAGCAGCCCCGCCGAGCCGCACGCAAGCCAGACCGCATTGGCCTCGTGCGCGCCAGCCACAGAGACCACCAGCCAGGCGCGCGACCAGAGCCGTACCTGCGCCGCGGCGCCGTAGCAGCCTCCCGGACCCCGGCCCAAGTCCTCCGCGTCGCCCGCGTCCTCGAAGCGCACCCCCGCTGCGCGAGCCGCAAGCGACACCGCGCGAGCCACCGACGGCCGGTTCACCCATGCGCTCTGCGTCCGGCGCGTGAGCAGCACGATGACCCTCCGCCCGCCGGCCTCGGGCGCCGCCGCCGGCAGCCCGAGCAGCGCGCGCGCCTGCGAGCGCAGCGCCTCCCCCGTCGCCGCGCGGGCGGCGGCGCCGGCGCGCCCCGACACCGCCTCCAGCGCATCGAGCATCGCGTGCCGGCCGCCGAGCGCAGCGTCGGACCACCTCGCGCGGATAAGCGCGTCGAAGCAGGTGTACGCTCGCGGCCCCGGCGCGATGTCGCGGCACAGGAGCACCGACTTCCCGCCGATTGCCGCCGCCGCCGCCCGCGAGGGAGCGGACCCGTTGCCCAGCGCCTCCACCGCCACGCGGGCGCTGGCGAGGGCGAGCAGGGCAAACATCTCGGACGGCTCGCCGCGCGAGACCAGAGCGGGAAGGCCGGAGGCGCCGCCGCACGCCGTCCGGTTGGAGGCGACCTGAGGCAGCGCCACCCAGACCGCCTCGGCGGCACGCGCTGCCAGCGCCGCACCAAAGCGGCCGAGGCCGGGAAGCTCGGACCGCGCCGCAGCCGCGACCAGCACGCACGCCGATGCCCAGTGGGCCAGGTTGGACCAGTCGAGCGACGTCCCGTGCTTTGACGCCACCGCCACCGTTAGTCCCGGCCGGGTCGAGACGCTCGCGCCTGCGCCGAGCGAGGAGCGGCGGACGAGGCGAAGCCGGGCCACGTCGCCGCCGCACGAGTAGTGGGCCAGGCAGACGTCCCGGCGGACCTCCAGTAGCGGCATGTGCGGCTGTGTGGCGCCACAAAAAAAAACGGCCCGAACACGCACAAGCTCAGACAGTCCCGAGAAAGGGATAGACCGCAACGACAGTCAGAAGTCAGCGCTGGGTCCCAGGGCGAATGCGATGACGGCCTCTAGTGTGAGCTCTAGCTAGTGAGCTCATCGCTACTAACTATATGCAGCGAGTTAGTTAGGAGCCGACCGACCGACCCAGCGACCCTCGCGTCCGGTGCTCACCGACGGCCGGGCGGGCCACCCGCCCACGCGCCGCCTACGCGCAGCGCGTGCGCCGCAAACTCGCCCGCCGACAGCGCCGGCCAGTCGCCATCGGCCGTCGCGAGAGGCCTGCCCGGCTGTCGCCGCGGGGCCCCCACGAACACCACGCGTCGGATGCGGTGCCGCGCGAACTCGCGCGCAAAGTGCACGCCCCACGCCCGCCGCAGCGTCGTAGCGAAGTAGGACCGCGCCTCCTTCGCGCTACGCGCGCCGATCCGCCTCCAGTGCTGCTTGGTCCTTGGATGCCGAATCCACCACACAGTCGAACAGCTGGTGCAGGTCGTCCGACGCCTCCGCGTAGGCCCCGACAACGAGGCTGCGCACGGTGCCAAACGAGCGCAGCACGGAGGAAACGGCGTCCCTCGAGCCGTTGTTCCATGCCTGCACGTGCGGCTTGGCATCGAGCGCCGCCGCCCGCGCCTCGTAGTCGCGCTGGACAAGGTTCGCCCTGTCGGCGACAGCGCCGCCCTGGCCATCGAAACCAGATCCTCTTGTAGCTCGATCGGTCACACCGCCATCACCGCCGACGTCTCCCAGTGTGGTATTGCTAAAAATCTCTCTCTCCCACAGCCAGTGAGACGATCGAGAGAGAGAGAGATTTTTGAAGACCAACAAGAAATCAGCATGCCCGGAGAGGGGGGACGACCTGCTTCAGCAGCGTGCACCTCGATCCTGTATGTACCGTGTTTGAGAGAGAGAAGCCATCAGGCGCCTCCCGTTCGACTCTTGCTGTCGCCCTCGCCGTGTGTTTTTTTTCTCTTCTCTTCTTCGTGTGTTCTCTGTGTTTGTCAAGCTTCCGCATGAAGTAACGCGCCTCTTCCTTATTTCCAGCGCAGCTGCCACTCAGTACGTGCGCCAACGACGCCTGTGGCGGCTCACTGTCTTAGGTAGGTAGGTAGAAAGGAAGAAAGAAAGAAAGAAAAAGGTAGGTAGAAAGGACTGGAGACCTCAGAAGTGCGCCGAATTCTTTTGCACATATCTTTACGGACGGTGGCAAAATGTGTGTGCTGATCACTTTGCTCGCCGCCGCCGCCGGTTCGACGGCTCGCTGCGAGCCCACGGCGTGCGGGCAGGCGCCCGCGGCCTCTGCCTCCTGCCCTCTCGCCGCCTCGTCGGCCACCTCTGACGTCGGGCCACAGCCGACGGTTCAGCCGTCGAATCTGTACTTTTTCAACGCGGCGGGCGTGCCCGTGACGATCTCGTACGTGGCTAAGGACGGCTCCGAGACAACCAGAGCGCGCCTGGCGCCCGGACTCCGCCGACTCCTGCCCTCCCTCTCTGGGGAGGTCTGGCGCGTGCGCGCCCTGCGGCCAGGACACCCCCTCGACCAGCAGGCGTGCCCCCCCCCCCCCCCCTTTTGTCGAGCCTCGACGCGCCCGGGGGGGGGAAAAATCCCCTCCGGGGGACAAAGACCCCCTCCGGAGGCCCCCCCCCCCCCCCCCCCGCAGCTGCTCCTCGAGCACCGGGTCGGCATCGTCCAGATCAAGGACTGCGACTGCCCGCAGCCCGAGTTTGTCGACTGCCAGAAGCCGCCCTTCCGCCGCCCGCCCGGCACGCCCAACGACCCCGTGGCCTTTGAGAACCACGCCGGCGCCCCCCTCGACCTCTTTTACTGGAATGGCACGTGTGAAGAGATGATCTCTTGGGACGCGGTGGGCGGTGTGCAGCCGGCGCAGCGCAAGCCCATCCAGTCGACGCACGGGCACACCTTCCGCGCCCGCTCCGCCGCCTCGCGCCATCTCCTCATGCAGCACACCCTCGCCGACCTCGTCATCCGGCCATGCGACGACGAGACGCGCCGCGCCGCCGTCCGCGCCGCCTCGCCGCGCGCCATCGCGCTGCGGCGGGCGACGGCCGACCTTGAGCAGGAGCAGGAGGAGCTGCGCGCGCAGCTCGAGGCCGCCCTCGCCGCCCTCGCCGCGCGCCTCGCCGCGGCAGGAGGAGCTCCGGCGGCGGCGAACGCGACGACGACGCTGCCGCTGCACAGCGGCGCGCTCGGCAGCGGCCTCGGCCTCGGCGCCGCGACAAAGGCGCGGTGGGCGATCGGCGCCACCGGGGCGTCCTTGCTCTCATGACGAGTCGGTGTGAAGGTTGTGCCGTGTGTGGACCACCGCGTCCGGACGAGTCGAGAGTTGCACGACGTGATGGTCGAATGTGTTGTGAGATGTGAGACCGGGGGCCGCCGGGTCAGCTTCGTCGCACACCGAGCCGCTGCACTCTCCCGTCGCCCGTATGTTTTGGTGTTGATTACTGGTATACTAGAAGACCTCAGACTCGCCTGCGACCCCTCGTCCCCTCCCTCCACGTTGCAACAGCGACCTGCGTGTGCGTCGCCGTGCCCGTGGGCTGTGCGGGGAGTCGGAGTGCGCGCCGTTGGGGGGCACTTAGAGTCTTGTACTTGAACTTGTGCTCTTAGACTGCACTGTTATACGCGTAACATTAACTTATAACTTTGGGCCCCAAGTGCTTTGGGCCTAACTTACCACTAACAGTTGCGCTAGTGTTGGCTGAAATCCTTAACGTTGTTCAAGTGTTCACCCCAGCCCTTGGGGGCCTTGCTGTTACTGTTTTGTTGCTCTGTTGTTACTCTGTTGTTCAGTGGTCAGCAAGCAGAAAATGCCAAAAAAACGGGTAAAACGCCCGAAAATACCCATTTTTTAAAAGGTATTTTCGGGTATTACCCGTTCTGGACGCTGGAGATCGTCGTGGGTCACTGGTAGGCCTTCCTGACTGGTTGTTCAGTCGGCCTAACGTTAGCTACTCGAGTACTGAGTACTGTTGTTGGGGAGCCCCACTGTTGTTCTGTTGTTGCTGAGCACTTGAGCACTGGATAGGGTCGATTCCGCATGGGACGGGACCCCTCGATCGTCTCGCCCTCAGTTGTTACTCGTGTTAAATTAACACTCAGGGTGGCTACTATAGAGTCTCTCACATAGTACTCATCTTTTTAACGACCCTAAAAGAGCTCGCGGTACAACACGCGTCGCGCGGGCGGACCCTCGTCACAGCTCACAGCTCACATTTTACTATAGGCCGAATATCCCGCGAGGCGCACGCACGGACGACACACTCACACACACTCACACAGGACAGCGACGACACACACGATTTTTAAGCAACCCTTTTCCTGGCTCACAAGCTAAAGATGTTCCACGGACGGGCCCCCACACGCATGGGAGCCCCGGGTACTCTCTAGCTGTACTCGTCTAGGCAGGTGTTTCGATTTAAGGCGCGGTTATTGGGGGGGGGGGGGAGCGGGGTCCCGCTCCCGGTGTCCTCCCACAAGAAACGAGAAACGAGAGGCTCCGACGCGACCACATGCATCTTGCATCAGCGTATGCAGCATGCAGCTCAGAAAGTCTCACTTCAGTGTAACATTACATTCGCGTCGCCCCGGCCCCCGCGCGCGAGACACCGGACAGAATGCGAGACGGCACAGACAAGTGACAACCACGATGCGTGTGTGATGGCTCAGTCCAAATCGACACTGCTGGAGCCCGTTCGAGGCTCCGCCGCGTCCGGCTCTGCCCGCGAGCACGACGTGGTGGTGCCGGGATCGGATGCATCTCCAGGCTGACGCGGGTTGGCAGACGGCGCCTCGGCGCGATGTTGGGCGACGGCCGCCTCTGCTGCTCCCTGTACGGCAAGGCGCCAGACGTGTGTCTGCGCTGCTTGGCCAATCCTGTGAATGCGGCCGATCATCTGCAGCTCCGTGTGGAGCGCTGGCTGCGGCTCGAGGATGAGGACGTGGCTAGCCGCCGTCAGCGTAAGGCCAGCAGCGTTGCGCGCGGCCGAGAGCAGCAACGCCTGGATGGACTCGTCGGTGCAGAATCGCGCCACCTCCTGCGTTGCCGCGCCCGCTCTGCCCGACGTGCCGACAAAGGAACCGCACGCTGCCGAGAGCGAGACGGCAGAGATGCCGTTGAGGGCACAGCCATGCCGCAAGAGCGAGAGGGTCGCCTCGTGGCGCGAAAAGACGACCGCCTTGGCGGCGGCCGGCGGCATGCCGCTCTCCGCAGCGTGCGCCTTGAGGGCGAGCAGCAACCGGAGCGCCGTCTCGACGCGGGAGCCGAGCGAGCCGTGCACCGCCTGCGCCGCGAACCTCGGCCGCAGCTCGGCCCAGCCGCCGCCCACCGGCCGCGGCGGAGCGCGCGGCGGGTTGCATGCGGTCAGCCGCATCCCGGCCGCTAGGCGCAGCGGCTGACTGCACGTGCCTCCGCCCGGCAGCGGCGCGCAGCAGCGAGCAGAGTGCACCTTCCAACGCCGGCCGCGCGACTGCTCGATGCGTGTCGAGAGCTTCGCGGACCAAAAGTGCTCGGAGAAGGCGTGCCCGCACGGCGCGGTGACGAGCACGTCGTGCGGGTGCGAGTCGCGCCGCCAGCGCTGCGAGCGAGCCTCCCACCTCCACGGCCCCGGCTCGAAGGACGCGCCCGACGACTCGCCGTCATACTTGCCGCTCACCATCGCCGCGCCGTCCCACACCGCCTCCTTCTCGTCGGGCACCGCGACGACACACGCTGCGACGCGGCCGTCGGGGAGGGGCAGCCGCCCTCGCTCCCACCCGTCCTCGCCACGCTCGACGGCGACGGCCGGCGCCCCACCCGCCGCCGCGGCAGCCTCGTGGGCTACTTGCTCCGTCACGTCGTCAAACGGCACGGCGATGGCTTCGGGCAGCTCGCGCAGCAGCCAGCCGGCGACGAGCACCTCGCCGCGCCAGATGCCCGCCGCTCGAGCGCAGTGGACGACGGCGGCCAGCTTGAGGGCGTTGGCCTCGGCGCCCTTGCCGGAGAGAGCGTCGGCCGCCAAGCGGCGCTCTCTCATCCAGCTCGCGAGGGCGACCCGCAGCGCGAGCGTCGCGGCGCAGCAGTGGGCGGCGGCGGGCGCGGCGGCGGCGTGCGGGTTTGTGCTCCGCAGCAGCAGCCGCAACGGGGCGGGCTCGCCGTCGGACGGCGGGCGCCACGCGGCGCGATCGCAGCGCAGCTCCCGCAGCCGGAGCTCGTGCAGCCTCCGCACCTGTGCGTCCACCTGGCGGCACTTGGAGGCCATCCGGTCCGCTGCCGCGCCCGCCGCCTCGAGCGCCGCCGCAGAGACCTCCTCGGGCAGCGCGCGGGACAGCTTGTACAGCTCCGCCTCCTCCAGCACGCTTCTCTCCGACAGCCGGGCCGACCGGTGGGCCCACCGGCGGACGGTCGCCTCGGAGCGGCGGCGCAGCAACGCCTGCCTCGCCTCCAGCTGAGCCTCGACGGCGGCGGCGTCCGCCGCGGCCAACTCCGACCCGCCGCCGGCGGCGGCCTTGGCTGCCTCCGTCATCGCCTTGCTCAACCAGCCGCTCTCGAGGCGCAAGGCCTTTCGCTCGCCCTTCTCCGCGGCCGCCAGCTCCATCCGCCACCTCCCGACCTGGCACGCGGCGCCCGCCTCGCCCTCAAGAGCCTCATACGCCCCTCGCTGCGCCGCTCGCTCGCGCGCGCTCCCCTCGGCCTCCGCCCGCGCGGCCTCGCCCGCCGCCTCCCACCAGCGCAAGCGGCCATGCTCGGACGCCCTCAGCCCTCCACCTCGGGGACGGGGCGGGGCTGCGTCGCCGCCGCCGCCGTCGCCGCCGCCGCCACCGCCGCCAATACCGTTGGGCATGGGGGTGGCGTGGGGCGGCGACTCCTCGACAAGGCTCTCCGCCGCGCTCTCGTCGCTGCTGAAGCCGGCCGCCTCGCCTGCGGTGCCGCCGCGCAGCTCCGCCAGCGCCTGCCCCCTCGAAGTCCGCTGGGCACGCCGCACGCGCCGGAGCCACGCGCCGTCGCACGCGCTTAGCCCGCGACGCTCCATCCACGCGCGGGCGGCTGGGCTCAGCCCGCCGCCCTGTGCTCCATCGCTGTTCGCGGCGCCCTGCACCTGCACGGCGTGCTCCGCCGCGGCAGATCGGGCCCACTCCGCCTCCTCACGCGCCAGCGCCTGCCGTGCCGCCTCGCGCCGCCTCGCCGCCTTGGCCACGGCGGCGGAAGCGTCCTCGAGCAGCTCGCGCTCGGTCGAGTCCACGAAGCTGCGGGTCGCCTCCGCCTCGTCGGACCGACCAGCCTACTCTTGCACAACGCCCTCCTCTCGCAACCACCTCCGCCGCACGGCCCACGCCGGCAGCGGCCCCGCCTGGTGGTGAAGCGAGAGCAGCTTGAAGAGGGCGTGCAGCCGCTCGCACCTGTTAAGTAATTGATGACTATCAACTAGTGAGTCAACCGTTCAAGAGGGCGTGCAGCCGCTCGCACCGCCAGAGACGGAGCGTCTCCTCCGCATTGTCGACCTGGTCGCCGCCCGACGCGTCCTCGCACACGCCCCACTCCTCCAGCCGCAGCACGCGCTCGTACACCGCGCGGGCCGCCTCCTCGTCCCCGAGAGCCACGTGCAGCGCTGCAACCTGACAGCAGCGGGTGGCATCCTCAGAGCGAGCCGCGCCAGCGCGCGTTTGCCGCCCCCTCTCGTAATTACCAAGTTGAGCTGCTCCGCCAGGGAGAGCTCCTCCCTCTGCTGCCTGCGAGACGTGTCCTCCGCCGCCCGCTGCAGCTGCTCGAGCGGCCCGACGGTCGTGCCTACCCGCAGCTGCTGCTGCTCACACCGCCTGTCCGCACTGCTTTGACTTGCGCGGCTGCGGCGCGCCCGTGTCGACCTGCGCCTCCGCGTTCCCGCGCCCGACCCACGTGCGAGACAGCTGCGGGTGGGTGAGCGCTGGTTGGAGCCGCTGCCACCCTTCGGAGAGGTGGGACAGAGGCTCTGCGTGGGCGGCGCCCTCGGCCGTATCGCCTGCGGCGGCGCCGGTCTCTGCGGATGCGGACCCCTCGGCCTCGTCCGCGGGAGTGAGGCCCTCCGGGTAGGGTGGCAGCAGCGACGCGGGGAGCCCGCCCGCCTCTGCATCGCGCTGCGCCCAAGCAACCTCGGCAGCCGACGGCGGCAGCAGCAAAACGTGCTGCAGCGGCGGCGCCGCGAACGCGTTCTGCGCCGCAGCGTCGGGCTTGGTCGTGCGCCGCATGAGCGAGCGCAGCGCAGAGAGCAGCCGCGCGCGGCCCGCGCCAGCCGGCTGCGCGAGCGCCGCGGCGAAGGCGCGTCGGTCGGTCGCTTCGGCGGGCCCCGCTGCGCGCAGGAAATGGAGCAGGTCGAACGCGTCTGCGAGGCCGCGTTCGGCGGAGAGGGGAGTGCCCGACGCGCACCAGCGGTGGACGGCCGGGATGCGCGCCGCCATGAGAGCCAGCTGCCGCGGCGTGGCGCTGCGCGACTGAACCTCTTGCGCCTGCGAGGAGGAGGAGGCCCTGCGGTGAGGAGGGGCGCCGGGGGCAGCAGACGGCAGGAGCCTCTTCTCTCGCGACGACCTCGTCGAGGGTGAGGAGCCGCGAATTAAATAATTAATTATAATAATTACTTAATTAGCGGCACCTCGTCGAGGACGACGCGCCACCAGCGCACGAGCAGCAGAGGCGAGCGCGGCTTCTCGTACCGCGCGGTGGAGAGCCGCACCGCACGGTCCTTGCCTCCTCCGCCTCCACCTCCGCCGCCGCCCCCCTCCGCCGCCGCCCCGCAGTACCAGACTTCGGACTGGAGGACCTTGACCGTCGTGAGGACGACCCACGCGCGGTCGGCCGCCTGCAGGAAGGTATTATCTTATATGATTATTTATTGTTATGACACATTATGCTATAGGTCGGCAGCCTGCAGGAAGGCGCCCGCGCCGCCGGCCAGTGCCCTCATGCCCGGGTAGACGAGGGAGCGGGTGGCGAGGGCCGGCGCGTGGCGGCGCAGCTCGGCGAGCCACTGGGAGAGGATGTGCGGCGGCGTGATGACGAGGGTCGCGCCGAGGGCGGGCGGGCCTCCGCTCAGCGGGCAGACCCACCCCTCGCGAGGCCGCTTGACCCGCAGCACCAGCCGGCCACCCGGCGCTGGCATGGACGGCGGGGCCTCCGCCTGGGCAGAGGGCACCGCCTCCGCCTCTGCCACCGCCTCCGCCGCCTCCGCCGCCTCCGCCGCCCCCGCCTCTGCCACCGCCCCCGCCGCCTCAGCCGCCGCCTCCTCCTCTGCCGGAATCGCCTCAACAGCAAAGCCGACCCGCCGCCGCTTCGGGGCGGGCGGCGGTGCCGCCGAGGCAGCGCCACTCGAGGGTCTCGAGGGTCCGGATTCCGTGGCAGAGGCGGCGGCGGCGGCGAGGCGAGGCTGCAGCGCAATGAGCGGGAGCGCGCACCGCTGGCAGAGGTGGTGGGAGAGGGAGGAGGGGCCGGCAGCGGCCAAAGCGGGCCCGGCTGGGGAGGGTGCGGAGTCGGCCGAGGGTGCGGACTCGTCACAGTACCAGACCTCGTGCGGCAGAGGCTGCAGCCTGCAGCCGTCGCACCGCCTTCCGACAGCGTCGGAGAAGCGCGGCACGAGGCGGAGTGGCTTGAGCGCGCCGCGGGTGCGGATGATGGCATCGCCTGCACGCTCAAGCGGCGGCAAGAGCAGGTGCGGTAGCCGCGCGGCCTGGCTGCTGCCCGCCATCTCTGGTGGGTTTGAGAGGATGAGCGTGAGCAGCTCCACAGTCTTGCCGAGGCCCATCTCCTCGGCGAGCACGCCGCCAGACACGCCAGTCCCGTCCGCCACGCCGCCGCCGCGCTCCCGACGCAGCGCCCAACGGACACTCTCGCGCTGGAACGCGAGGAGCGAGCACTCCAGCATCGCCTCGGCCGGAAGTGCCTCATCGCCACCCGCCGCGGCGGCGGCGGTGGCCCGTGGCGAGATTTGGCGGTAGAGGTCGGTCAGGCTCGAGCTCGCGGCGCTCTCGTTGTCAGGAGGGTCGGCATCCATGCGAGAATGGGCCCGACCCGAGGGAGCCAGCCAAAGGGGGGGAGGGGGAGGCAGAGGGAGCCAAAGGGCCCACGGTAGTCTGGGCCCTCCGTCGGGTTTCCCCCTCTCTAAACGCCGGAATTTTCACGCAGAAAAAGAAATATCCCGCCGAAATCACGATGTCAAAAAAGAGATTTAAAAAAACCAAGAAGAAATCAAGACTACACTCCAAGTGCTCACAGTGATTTGTTTGGGCTCGGTCGGCAGCTTGTCAGCCCTCAGCCGAAGCGGTCTCGGGCACCGTACCCATACTACTCAAAAGTATAATATACTACCACAAAGCACCACTCCTGTCAATCCCGCCGCCTCCCCTGCCAATCCCCCGCACCACCGCCGCCACCGCCTCGCGCGTTTAGCGGGCCTTTAAGCTTAGGAATCCTAAATAGTAAAAATAGGCGGACAGCATAAAGAATTTTTTTTCACCTCTCTCTCCTATAAAGAAAAGAAACGTCGGCAGTCCAAGTGCTCCAAGTGCAATGTCGAAGGTGCCACCTTTATCAACCACAAAAAAGGCCCGCGCGTGCTGCGCGGGCCCGGCGAGCGACTAGCGAGCCAACCTGCTAGTGAAATATAGAAGAAAGAAAACACAGCGGCACCCTCCGGGCGCCTCCACACCCTCCGAGCACCTGGCCGTCTCAGAGCACAGCTCACACACACGGTATATGCTCCTCCCGCTGCTCTTGTCCGGCTCCGGCTCGCGCCCGCTTCCCACCTCGCCGCGATCGCTGCAGCGGCTGGAGACGTCTACCGTGGCTGTCGCCGCGGCCGAGCTTCCGATCGTGGTTCGCGAGGCTGGGGACGGAAAGGGGATGGGCGCCTTCGCAAGCGCACCCATCGCGGACGGCGCCCTGGTGTGCTGCTACGAGGGCGAGCTCCTGACCCTGGATCAGACGCTGGACCGCTACTCGAGCACTGACCCGTCCTACCTCTTCTCGCTTGGCGACGGCTCGGATCTCTACATCGACGGAGCCAGCTCGAGCCACCCGTCGCGCTACATCAACCACCACCAGAACGGCACCCTCGCTGCGACCGTCTCGACCGAGGAGCGCACCGTCATCTTCCACGCCGCCCGCGACATTGCAGCGGGCGAGGAGCTCACCTTCGATTACGGCGAGGGCTTCTGGGTCGGCTCCAACGGCGTCCCCGCCCAGGGCACAGACGACCGCACCTTTGAGCCGCTCTCGCCCACGGACGGCCGCTGGCGCCCTCCACCCGGGCCGCCGCCGCTCTTCGCCAAGTCCGCCGCCGACCTGGACGCCGTCGACCGCCTCGACGACCGGGCCGAGGCGCGCCTGGCGCTCGTGCGAACGCTCGAGTTTTTCGGTGCCGCGAGGCTGTCGTCGGGCGACCTCGCGGTGCCGAGCACGCTCTCGAGCGCGGAGGCGCCGCGGACGGTGCTCTCGCCCACGGACGCTGCGAAGCTGCGCGAGGCGTGTGGAAAGCTCGTCGCTGAGATCGAGCGATGATATTCAAATGATCACAAATTGACGTATGTCGCGCGGCGAGTTTTTACAGTGTTTTCCGGAGATCCGGAATCTGGGTACACACGCATGGCCTTCAGATTGCCTGTTGAAAGGTAGCCGAAATTCAGTTCACTTCATACAGCGGAGAGGGGCGCGCGAACAACCATGAGCCGCCGTGGTTATACTTGAGGCGCTCAGCCACACGACAGTCCGGGCGGCCGCGTGCACAGCGGGTCCGCCTCGGCGCTCGGCGGGTCGCGGACCAACTCGGCGGCCTCGCCCAGCAGGTTGGCAAGGCGGCTCCGCGCCTCGTCGGGCAGCGAGGAGGCGCTGGTGAGGCCGAGCACGTCGACGCAGATCGAGGCGACCAGGCGCTCTGCGGGCGAGGCGCCCGAGCCGGCCCTCCACGAGGCGGCCCCCTCCGAGGAGCGGCCATGCAGCAGGATTGCCCGCCGCTGCCTCTGCTGCCGGCGCTGCGACGCGTGCCACGCGTCCCACTGCGCAGTGGTTGCTTGGTGCTCGGCCGCCTTTGCCGCGGACTCAGCGGCCGCCTCCTCGGCCTGCGACTTCTCGAGCCACATGCGCGCCGTGATGTGCTGCTCGCGCGTGACGCACTGCTGCTCCGCCGCCAGCCGCAACTGCAGCGAGTGGAGCTGCCGCTGCAGCGCCTCGACCTGCCGCGCGCCGCCATCTCCGCCGGCGAGGCCGCCGGGCGGCTCGCTCTGCCCTCCCGCGCCGCCGCACCGGCCCGCCTTGCCGGTGGCGGCGTCGTAGCTGCAGGCGAACGAGGCGGACTGGCGCGCCACAGACTCCATGTCCAGCACCTCGGCCCGCACCCTCCCCCCCGCAGAGACGAGGTCCGCCGGAGGGAGCCAGCCCGCACGGCCCTCGCCCGCCTCCGCCGCCGCCAAGCCGGCAGCAGCCTCATCGGCAGAGCGGCACGCCGCGCCGGCACCACCGCCAAAAGTCTCGCCGTTCATCGCGTCATCCTCGTCCTCGCCCTCGCCACCCTCCTCGCCGCCGCCCTCGCCGCCGCCCTCGCCACCGCCCTCGCCGCCGCCCTCGCCGCCGGCCGCGCCAGTCTCCCCACCGCCAGCCGCACAAGCTGCGCCCTCCCTGGCCGCGCCCGCGCCCTCGCCCGCGCCCTCGCCCTCCTCCCTACCTTGGCGGGCCGTCAAGCCCGGCTGGGCGCCGTGCGAGGCCAAGCTGGCGTCGCCACCGCTCTCGGCCCTCGCGCCGCCCCGCTCCTTCGCCTCGAGCGCCTCCCCCGCAGAGCTGTCTCCCCGCCGGCTGCCGTGGCCTCGCCGGCTGACGACGGCCCACCCCTGCTGCTCCTCGCCTGGCGACGACCCTGTCGCCTGCGTGTCGACAGCACGGCCACCGCACGCCGTGCCCGGCCCATCGCCCTCCGCCCGCCGCGGCGACGCGCCCGAAGGCGCCGCCTCGAGCCTGGCCGCCTCCTCGCCCTCGCCCTCCGACTCGGCGCCAGACTCGCGGGCACCAGACTCGCGGGCCGGCCGAGCCGCGCTCCTGCGCCCCCGCGCCCCCGCCTGTGCACGCGCCGGGGCGGCCGCGGCCGTCGCTCCCCCCTCCGAGCCATCCTCCTCCTCTTCGTCGTCCGCATCGGTCGAGACGTCGCACTCGACTGCACCCCTCCGGCTGCTCGGCTGGCAAGGGCGCACCGCTCGCGCTCCGGCCGCCGCCCTCGCCGCCGCCCTCGCCGCCCCCTCCTCCTTCACGCCGCCGCCCTCCGCGCTCTCCTCCTTGCGGCGGTTGCGGCGCCGCGTCGCGCCTCGCTCCATCACCTCGGCGACCGCGCAGAGCTCCGCCTCCGTCTGCCTCCGCCGCCGCTCGGACAGCAGCAGCGCGCGGATCTCGGAGTCCGTCGCGCGCGAGAGGAGCTCGTCCCAAGAAGCGTCGGCGCCGCCGCGGCCGGGAGGCGCGACCCCGCCGCCGCCGCCAGCCGCCAGCCGCGCCGCGCCGCGCAGCAGCTCGTCGACCACCGCCACGTGCGACGCGGACACGGCGAGCTGCAGCGCCGACTCGCCGCCCGCGTCCCGCACCCCGACGGGGGCGCCCGCGGCGAGCAGCGAGCGGACGACGCCGGCGTGGCCTCGCGCCGCGGAGAGAGCGAGCGCGGTGCGGCCGTGGTAGCGGTCCTGCGCGAAGACCGACGCGCCCGCCTCGAGCAGCAACGCCACCGCGCCGCGGTGCCCGCAGCAGGCAGCGCTCAGCATCGCCTCGGAAGCGGCGAGCGGCTCTGAGGCGGCGCCCGCCCGGATCATGGTGAGCAGGACCTCGGTGTCGCCGCTTGCGGCGGCGCGCATCAGGTGCGGCTGCGTCGGCGCGCCCGCGCCCGCCAGCAGCCGCACCAAGTCCACGTGCGCGTGCCGCGCCGCGATCGGGAGCGCGCGCGCGACCTGGCTCGCAGCTGGCAGAGGAGAGTGCTTTGTCAACAGCCGCGCAACCTCGAGCGACCCTTTGCGGGCTGCGAACTCGAGCGCGCCGTGGCCAGAGATGTCGACCGCGCTCGCGCTCGCGCGCGCGGCGAGCAGCGTGCGGACAGCCAGCGCGTGCCCATTCTTGCACGCCAGCATGAGCGCAGTCACCTTCTGCGCATCGACAGCGTCCAGCAGCGCCGCCAGCCCTCCCACTGCCTCCACCTCCGCCGCCGCCCCCGCGCCCGCCCCCCCTGCGTCGGGCGGGGCCTCGGCCGAGGCCGCCTCCGAGGCCTCCGCCGCCGGCTGGCTCGCCACGTGCTCGACCAGCGCCTGCACTGCAGCGGCGTGCCCGCCTTGCGCCGCAGCCATCAGCGGAGTGCGGCCTGTCCGGCTCGTCCGCGCATACGGCGATCCGCCCGCGCGAAGCAGCATGCGCAGGAGCTTGACACGGCCGCTGCCCGCCGCCACGGCCACGGCCGTCCACCCCTGCGCGTCTCGCGCGTCCACCTCCACCCGAGCAAGGCCCGGAGCGGGAGCGTCGCCGCCGCCGCCGCCGCCGCCACTGTCACCGGGCGTGGCTGAAGCGAGCAGCTCTCCTGCCGCCTCGACGCGGCCATTCTCGACCGCCACCATGAGGGCAGAGCCGGCCGCCGACTGCGTGCTCGCGCCTGCCCCGCGCAACAGGCGCAGCATCGCGGCATCGCCTGCCTGCGCCGCCCACAGCATTGCCGACCACCCGGCCGAGTCCACCGCCTCGACGTCGGCGTTTGCAGCGAGGAGCGCGGCGGCCGCGGACGCCTGCCCGTGCTGGACGGCCACCATGAGCGGCGTGCCGCCTGAGCGCTCCGTCGCGCCCACAGCCGCCCCAGCCGCCAGGAGCGCCTCGACAGCTGCCGCGTCGCCGCGCTGCGCTGCCCAAAAGAGCGGCGTCCAGCCAGAGGCGGCGGCGCCTTCCATGTCGGCGTCGGCTGGCAGCGCCCGAAGCAGCGGGGCGACGAGCGAGGCGGCGTCCGCCTTTAGCGCCGCGACGAGCAGCTCCGCGCCCAAGCACTCACCCGGCCGCGCTCCTGCCGCAAGCATGCCGGCGGCAACGCCGGCGTGGCCGCGCGCGACGGCGAGGCGAAGGAGGTGCGACACCTCCTCCGAGCTCACGTCCACGCCGGCAAGGGCCGACTGCAGGGCTTTGCCCGGCGTGTTCTTGGTGACGGCCACACGAAGCGCCTTCATCGGCTGCGAACCACAACGCCAACGCGCACTCACCTCAGGCGCGCCCTTGCCCGGGGGGGCGAGGGAACCCGAGACTGCTGGGGCGAGCCTCGGCGAGACTGCGTCAGCTGTTCCCACAGCAGGCTGGAAGTACCTCGCCAGGCGCGCACTGCAATAACTCGAAGCTGCTTGGACACAACATCGATGCCGACTTTATTAGTGTGGGGAGGGTCGGCGAGCACTCACTCACTAGGCGGCGCCGCAGGGCCGGGGGCCCGGGGCACTGGCCACGGACGGCCTCGCCGACCACTAGAAGGCGGCCCACCCACTACGCGCACTAAGATCTAAGTTGGTGGGCGGGGACCGGGGTGGCGGGAGGCACTCACCCACTAGCCCGCTCTCGCCGGCGGCCCACTCACTACGCGCACTAACTTAGTCGCGGACGGGGTGTGGCGCTGGCGGAGGCACTCACGTTCCGCGCACTAACTAAGTTAGTGAGTGCGCGTAGTAGCCGAGCGGCCCGCCTCCGTCCGCCGGCGAAGGGCACTACGAGCGGCGGCCCGCCGGACCACTCCCCTCGCGGCCGGCCGGAGGCACTCACTTCCGCACACTAAGCTCTATTCGAGTAAGTTAGTTAGTTAGTGCGCGTAGTGTCCCGGCCTCCGAGCACGACTCCCGGGAGCACTTCACCACTTGACCCGCCACGGCGCACCACTAGCCCTCGTCCAGCTCACAGACTACCTTGCGCCGACTTAGTTCCCCGCAGGCCCGGGACCACTCACTCACTGCGGCATCGATGCTCTTCACACGAGTTAGTGACGCCCCTTCGAAACGCCGCGTTTAGTTGCAGCCCGGTCATACGAGAACATCGCGTCGATCATGATAGACGACTTCCTCCTCGTCAACTCCGGCTCAACGCCGCCGGCACCCCGCGCTCAGTCGCCGCCCGCGCCCGCGCCAGAGGAGAGCGAGACGCCGTACCAGCCCTTCGTCTTGCCCGCGGGGGGCGACGACAATGATTTGCCCGAGGGCTACTCGGCGAGTGATGATGAGGTATGCATCGCACACTTTGCAGATGAACCTCTTGGGGGGTTGCTAGCAGCGCCGGGCGACGACAGCTTACCGCCTCCCGACCCGCCCTCGGTACAGGTGGCGGGCTACATTGCTCAGGCAAAGGTGAAGGCGGTGAGGGCCAAGGGCGTGCTGCTGACGAGCGCGATGTTTTTCGCAGCCGTGTCGCTCGTTCTCTTCGCCGGCGCAGCGGGGCGGGGCCACATGATGAAGGTTGCGGGCGAGTCGGATGCCGAGGGCGACGTCAAGGCCGCGGGACGTGGGGCGGAGCCGGAGCTTCTGCTCGCGCCGCCCTCGCCGCTGTCCTACCCCCCGCCACCCTCGCCACCCACGCCCTCTCCGCCGCCGCCATCGCCCTGGCCCGCGCGCGTCATCCACTGGACCGGCACATATGCCCTTCGTTGCGGCTGAGTTCGCTTTCACATAACCTTGAAACCAACGCTCGATTTCTATAGGCTTCCCGCCGACAGTCCTCATTGCGCCCTCGCCGCCGCCGCCGCTGCACAAACCGCACATGAAGAAGATCGTGAATTGGACCGGCACATATGCTTTCGTTGCTGCTGAGCTCGCTTTCACAAACCTTGAAACCAACGCTCGTTTTCTGTAGGCTTCCCGCCGACAGTCCTCATTGCGCCCTCGCCGCCGCCGCCGCTGCACAAACCGCACAATATGGAGAAGATCCTGACCTGGTGGCACAAGATGATCGATTGGATGCGCCACGACGACTGAGCTCTCGGCTCGCCTCTGGCGGGTTGGGCTGCCACAGGTGCAGCCAGGCCAACAACGGGATCAGCATAGACTACTTGATTGCAGGTCGAGCTGGTCCAGTGCGTGGGTGCGTGGGTACGTGGGTGCGTGCGTAGCTCTCAGTGCTGTGCGGTATTCGGGGCGCTCTCCTGTCTCGGCCCGGCCTATCTGTTCCGGAGGAGAGCGGCGGCCTCGAGAGAGCGGGCCTGGGACTGTGAAATATGGCCGAGTCCCAGGGCGAGCCTGTAGTATGAGTCTGTACCTTGTACTACACGGTGCGGTGCGCAGAGGTGGGTGCGCGTGCGTGTTCGTGTAATCTGTAATGCGGTGGTGCATGATAATTGATGATTTCTACACACATGGCCGCACACAAAGTGTGCGCGCACCAGGACGCACCAGCGCGCGGTCTCTCCGTGTCAGTTCCCGCGGACCCCCCCGCCCATCGGGCCGAGCGTTTTTGATCTCTGGGTCAGTGGGCGCCCGCCCGCCGCCTCTGAGGGGGTCGGGCCCCCTAGACTGAAAACAAAAACAAAATCTAGAAACGTCAAAAACAGCCTGCGAGCGCGGCGCTGCGCGCCGCCTTACCTCGTGCGGGTGTGAGTGACCCCAAACGGCATCCAAAACATGTAATTCGGCGACCAAAAGCGGCGATGGGCACGCACCCGCGCAGCGCCGGCTTTGAGCCACGCGCCTCGATCTTCAGAGGCGCGTGCCCCTTCCGGCATGGCGCCGAAGGTGCCCGTCGTTGTTCGCGTCGAGCTTGGCAAGAAGCATCACCAATCGGGCCGCATGCACGAGGCGGAGGTGGCTCTCTCCCTTGTCGTCAGCGACGCACTCGAGAGAGCCGAGCCGGAGATTGCTGCTGGCAAGCTCACAGCCAGCACTGTCAAGTGCTTTCGGACGACGGAGTTTTCGGGCACCGGCACCGTCCTCGACAACGAGGATCTGGACGAGACGACAGTCGCCACTCTGCGAGACATGTTTGGCTGCAACATCAAAGTGCTGGCGACCGCCGAGGATTCCCCTGCTACCCCCGGCATGCTACCAAATGTGCTGACGCGACTCATGCAAACCCAGGCCGAGACGCCGAGGGCGCTGCCGCCTGCGCCCGACGGCGACCGCTACGATTACCGCCTCCTTCGCGCGCTGCTGTCGAACTTGCAGCGAGACGGCTTGAGCTTTCCAGTCCTCGATGCGAATGCCTCGGGCCAGCGCATTCTCTCTGCAATCGCGGCGGGTCTGCAATACGTGCTTCCGTTTGACGACTCCGATCCGAGCCCGCTGCGACTGGCCGGCCGCGTCCACCTCGTCGTGCCACGCCGCTTCAAGACGGAGGCGCTCAACAATGAGACTCCTTCGGAGGACCACCACGGCGCAAAGCCATTGGACTCGCGCCTCTCGGCCAAGAAGCTGCGCTCGTACGGCGAGGCCATTGCGGGCTTCATTGGCTGCGCACCGTGGTCCGAGACATCACGCTGGCAGCCATTCATGTCCGACGTCTCGGCGCTCGCCGACGGCATGGTCAAGCTCGCGGCCGCGATGGACAAGAACGCAGCGGCCAAGGAGACGGCACGCAAGGAGACCGTGCCTCTTCGCGCGCCCGACCGAGAGGAGGATGTGGTTGGCTCAGAGTTCAAGGAGCCTTGCGCACCGCACGACTGCCTCGCCATGTACGCGAGGCTGCGGGCCAAGCTCGCCAATGTCACCGAGTACGAGCTGGTACGGCTAGACGACGCCATCATGGGCGTCGACGAGGCTTCCACACCCAGCGTGAAGAAGCACGTGCGCGACGCCTTCCGAACGCAGCTTGCCATTCCCGAGAGCGGACTATACCTCTACCTCTTCCGAAGCGGAGGGCCACGCCCACACACGCTTTACGTGTGGAAGGTGCCCTCCGATGTGAAGCTGCGCTCGGAGGCAAAGCAGGCTGCCGCGCTGTCGCGTGCGGCGGCAGTGGTGCCGACGGTGGCGACGCGGCAGGAGCGACGTGTCTCGTTGATTTTACTTGCAGACAAAGAGGAACTGACCGCTGCCCCCCCCCCCCCCCCAGATGCTGCTGGACTACCAGGCGAAGTTCACTGCAACAGAGCTGCCCCCCGCGGTGCTGCGCAAGATGTGGGACGAGCTGTCGCGCGACACGCGCATCGCGCGCGATGCGAGCCAGGAGGCCATCGACGACCGAGTGCTGCAGTGGAATCCCGTGGATGTCGGCTGCGCGCGCGAGGATCCGAGATGCGATCTCGGAGCTGCAGGAGCAGGAGCAGGACGAGTTCTCCCTCGATGACTTTTTCGTCAAAGTCTTTCCCAACTTGATGGCGCATGCGACGCCGCAAAAGGAGCGGGCGACGGCAATACACTTCCTGATGAAGGAGCTCAACCGGCTCGAGGACGACGACATCGAGGATGTCATGTTGCGCGATGGCGTCATCCATTTCGTCAAGCCACCTTCATCGTGACCGTCGCCACCCTCGCCGCCGTCTCGCCTACGTCGCCGCCGTCGCCATCATGCGATGCAGGCCCATTCATGATGCAGGCCCAGCCCACCCCCCTGGCTCCTATGCCGACGTGTCCAGCGTGCTCCCCCGTCCGCCGATGTCTCTGCTGCCGCCCAGCGGAGCTCTGCAGCGGGCCCTCCTCGCCGCTTTCTGCCGCTGCATCGCTGTCGGCTCGTCATTTCTGTCTACAGTCATTGGGGGCTGCCATCGCTGTTCTCTCTCTCTCCCTGGGTCAGCTCCAACCTGCCGTGTCGGGACGTCACCCCCTCGGCTCCTCCCCCCCCCCTTCTCCGCTGAACTGCTTGCTGCTGCTGCTCGCTTTGTCCCAGGAGCCAGGTGCTTGTGTCTAATCGTAGTGGGGGCCCTGGCCCCCCTCTGTTTTCTGTTTTCTGTTTTTCAAAACGCCCGCCCGCCCGCCACCCCGAGGTGGCTCGGCCCCCCACTGACCCAGAGATCAAAAAACGTCGGCCTCGGCGCGGGGTTTTTCCGCGACACGCACCGACACTCGGGGACACGTGCGACGACTCTGTGCCCACCGGGACAGGGCTGTGCCGGCCTGCCGGCGCGTGCCGCCACCCTCGCCCTGTGGGCGCTGCAATGTGGGGGGCTTGTGTTTTACACGGCGTCGGCACTGTGGGCTCGCACACACGCGGCTAGAGCTGTCAAACGTTAAGAGCTGAACAGTGTTGCTAGTGTTAACAGTAACAACAGAACAACAGTGGGGCTCCCCAACAACAGTAGCTAACGTTAGGCCAGCTGAACAACAATAAGGAAGGCCTGGCAGTGACCCACGACGATCTCCAGCGTCCAGTGCGGGTAATACCCGAAAATACCTGGAAAAACTTAGGTATTTTCGGGTTTTACCCGGGTTTTTGGCATTTTCTGCTTGCTGACCACTGAACAACAGTAACAACAGTAACAAACAGTAACAGCCTGGGCTGGGGAGAACACTTGAACAACGTTGAGGATTTCAGCCAACAATAGTGCAACTGTTAGGCCCAAAGTTAACGTTTGACAGCTCTACACGCGGCTTCGCGCGGGCGCGCGGGCCCGCGCGGCTCCCGCGTCCCGGGCTCACCCTCACGCGTCACCCCGTGCCTCTCACGGGCCTCACGGCCTCGGCCCCCCCCCGACCGGCACCGCACGATATGCCGCATCGATTTCCGCGCTCGATTCAGGAGGGTCGCGGCGCGCTCTCTAGCCCCCCCCCCCGGGGCCGCTACTCTGACGTGACCGCCTCCCGAATTTACACCCCGTGGGCCCCGCACAATCTGACGTGCTCTCTCGCTCCACGCACGCACGCTATCTGAACGTTCACACGGCCACAACATACGAGGGCGCGCCCCAAGCAAGTGACTCTATGTCGGTCGGCAGGCGAGCGCAACGACCGTGCGCGCTTCGCTCCTCACTCTGCGCAGAGCCGTCCTCCTCGCTCCTCTGCGCCTCACTCCTTGGCGCCCTCCGAAGGGACCAGCAGGTCGATTCGCTTCCTCAGCAACTCGCGCTGCAGCGCCTCGGTCTCGCGCGCGACAGCGCGCACTGCCGCATGGTCGCCCGGGAAGCCTTGCATCTCGAGCATCGCTCCGCCGGCCCGCTCCACCACTCCCTCCCACAAGGCGTCCCTCAGCCACGCGGAGGAGGAGGGGCCGCCCTCGGGCAGCGCGGCGGGCGGCTGCCTCAGCGCGAGCGGGGCGAGGCTGGTCCCCTCCTCGGGCTCGAGCAAGAACCACACGTTCCTCCTCAGCTCGGCCTCTAGCTGCTCGTACGCCCAGCCGGCGTGGCCGACGAGGCACTTGAGTCGGAGCTACGGCCGCACGGGAGGCCGAGGCGTCAGCCAGCCAGAGGCGAGGCGGTGGGTCGAGGCGGCGGGGCGGGGCAGTGGGGCGGGGGCAGTGGGGCGAGGTGGGGCCGGGAGGCGCTCACCAGCGGCGGCTCGGTCTTTGCGCCGGGGGAAGCGTCTCCCTCGTCCGCCTCTGGCGGGTGTGGTGCGTCCGCCTCGACCGCCTCTCTCAGCTCGTGCAGCTCCGAGGTGACCCAGAGCCCTTCGCTCACCGCGGAGCTGTTCTCGAGCGGCCCGAGCGAGTGGAGCGCCAGCAGCGAGGAGGGCGACACGTCGCCGCCCTGGTGCAACGACGCCTCGCAGAGCGGGCCGAGCTTGTCTCGCCTCGCCTCGTCGACCGCGCCGCCGAGCAGCGGCGTGGGCGCCGACGGGCTGTGCAGCGGCGAGGCGCTGAACGGCTTGTTGATGGTCACGCCCACGACGTGCTCCTCAGAGACGGACACGAGGAGGATGACGGCGTGGTGCAGGCTCGGCTGGGAGAGGCACGAGACGGGGTGCGTGAGCAGCAGGCTCCCTGTCTTGGGCGCCGTGCCGACGCGCAGTCGCACACGCGTGTCGAGCGACGGCCAGGCCGTCCGCGGCTGAAGCTGACTGAGTGCCTCTCCGCCCTGCACCGCCGCGCTGAGGGTGCGCAAGGCCGCGAGGCCGACGTCAAGCGGGTGGTTGGCAAAGTCGGTGTGGCGCGCTCTACGAACGGCCTCAACGGCGGAGCTTGACGGAGCGTAGTACTCGGCTCCGTGGCCGCCGCCGCCGCCGCTGCTCGAGTTGAACGCGCCGAGCAGTCCCGCGCACTCGGAAGCGGCGCCGCCAACCTCTGGAAGAGCCACCACAGACCGAGCGCGCCGGTCGAAGAGCTCCGACGGAGTGGCGATCAGTAGGGCCTTGCCCATTGGATTTCGGTCGAGCTCACGCGCACACCTTAAGAGCTGGCGATAGACGACAGCGGACGCCATCGCGATTCGTACCGGACTGATCGGCCTTCGGCGAAGACTGGCCAGCGCGAAGTCATTTTTAGTCTACTGGAAGCTGCCATCCCTTGAGTTATGTGTACGCCAACTCAGGGTGTGTGGCAGCCAGCTGGCTGTGTGTTTTGTGAGCTTGTTTGTGTCTGTGTGTCGCTCGTGCGTGTCGTCATCATCTGTCCAGCGTCCACCCATACCGCGTTGGTGTCCAGTCCGAGCCTGGCTGTTCTTCACCTTTCTACCTACCTACCTACATCCCTGACAAGGACTCACACACACTGTGGTAGGGCCAGGTATCCGTACTGCTGTACTCGCGTGCGTGCCGGCACCGCAGTGCACCTGCCTGCCGACCCGCGCGCGGTACCCAGTTTGCGCGGCAGGTAGCGGGGCCAGTTCGAGGCCGAGGGCGTGGGCGTGCGCCTAACACGAAGAGAAAGCGTACTTCCGAGAGTCGGCCAGAACCTGCGCCACGTTTTTCTTGTTTGACTTGGCGATTTGAGGGACCGGGCATCCCGACTCGCTCCTGCTCTGCTCCTGCTCCTCGCTCCTCGCTCGGTGAGCTGTCGCCCACCAGCGCGCGGCGACCGCGCGCACACCGTGCCCGCCGGCTCGCCGCCCTCCTCACCACCCGTCGGCGCTGTCCGCAGGCATGTGAGTCAGAACGGCGACCGCGCAGCGCGCGCTGGTGTCTTGCTCGCCACCACCCTCTCGCCCCCCCCCCGCTCCGTGACCGCCGCCGCCCGCGCCACCGCCGCCGCCAACACCGCCTCGCGCCTCGCGCCTCACCCTCGCCGTCCCCGCCGCCCGCCCTCGACCTCGCGACGGCGTCCTTCTGGGGATCTGCGGGTGGCTTGCCCGCCTCGCCGCCGCCCCCACTCTCGAGCAGCGCGACCGCTTCCGCTCGATCGGTGAGCCGTCGCCCGCCACGCGCTCTCACGGCGACCGTGGGCCGCTCATCGCCTCCGCCTCGTCGCAGGTGTTTGATCTGGGCAGGAAGCGGCGCTGGCAACGGCAACCGGCAGCCGCGTGCACGGAGTGCTAAGCGAGGTGCCTGTGTCCAAGTCTGAGTAGCCCGTGGCCGTGAGTGGCGTCAGGGGCAGTGTTCTGTGACTGTGTCCTGTGCGTGCTGTTCAGTGTGAGTCGGTGCAGCGGTGGGCCTGCTGCCGCTGCCAGACGTGAGAGCCGCTGTCCGTGCCCCAGCACGTTGCGCGGAGAGGCTATAGGGCGCCCACCCACGAGTGCTCGGGTGGGCGCGCCGCGGCTGTGCGAGTAGTAGTGCAGCGGCCGCGGCGCACAGCCGGGGGCACGGCCCGCCGCGCAGCGCTTGCCTTTCGTTTTCTTTTTATACGTGCGTGTATTTCTTGAGATCCACACGCTGTTCAAAATATGCGCGCGTCTTCTGAGACACGCGCTGTTCACAGTATGCACGGCGCGTCTTTTGAGACAGCAACGCCAATCGGAGATGCCGCGAGCAATTCGGGATGCGCGGAGCAACTAATATGGACTCGCGCATCTTAGGATGCTCGAGCATACCGTATACCGAGGACAGCGAGCGTCTAAGTAGGACGCCTACTAGACGCACTCTAATCCAGAGACGCATTCGGTAAACAAAGATGGGGGGGTCGCCCCCCCAGACGATGTGGGGGCTGGGGCTGGGCTGGGGGCGGTGGGCAGCGTGACCAGTGTGGCTGGGGTGGGCTGTGTGGCCTGGCCCTCCCCCCGGCGGCGAAAATCATTTTGCAAAATTGTGTTGAGTGTTGACCCCACGCAGCCTGACACAGTTATTGTTATTATGGCTCTCTGGGTATAGCGTATAGGGCCCCATAACAGAATCCGGTCTCGTCTCTCGACTGTCGAGAGGATACAAAATCTGCCTGCGGGCAGACCCTCATAGCTCACACCTCGTCTGCTGGGCCACAGTCAGTCAGTGCAGCTAGGCATGCTTCGTAATTTATCCTCTGGCCCTCTTGGCAGGCGACCACCTCTGCCCAGACTGCTTGCAACGCCTCCACAAGCTGCGGCGAGGGGATGTCGTCGGTGAGGCCCGAGGCAGCGCAGCTGTCGGTGAGCAGCTCGCAGCCCTCGTCGGTGAGCATCCGGCCCTTCATGAAGGCCGTCCGGGCGTGCGACTTCCTCTCCCACGGCAGGCCGCCGCTCGCCAAAAAGGTGAGGCAGTAGACGAGCGACTCCAGGTCGTCCACACCGCGGGTGGGCCGAGAGCCCGTCTGGCCGGCGAAGCTGGCAAACAGCGGCGTGCCGACTTCGCCGACTGCGCGGTCTCCGGCACCGATCCGGCTCGCGAGGCCGAAGTCAATCAGGTGCAGCTCCGACCCTGAAGCCCCGCGGAGAAAATTGGCTGGCTTGACGTCGTTGTGCGCCCAACCCGCCTCATGCAGTGCTCTCAGGCAGCGCATCATGCCGCGACCGAGACGCAGCACGGTCGGACCGGAAAAGAAGGTCATTGAGGTCGTCGTCTCCCACAGCGTCTGCACCGATGGGCCGAGTAGCTCCATCACGATCGCATCGCTCTGCGCGTGGTAGATGGCAGGCGCAAAGCCGGCGGCCGTGCCCAAGGAGCGCAGCACAGCGGCCTCGTGCGTCAGGTCAACTCCTAGCTTGACGGCCACGGATCCGTGCCTCGCACTCTCTCCGAGCAGGACGCTGCCATAGTGCCCACTGCCGAGCCGGCCCTTGACGCCAAACGTCTCGCCGTCGATCACGAGCGGCCCAGTGTCGCTCGCGCACATGCGTGGACAGAGTGTGCCTCTTCGGGCTGCGAGCGCGAGGATGGCCGCCATACACGCAAGCTAGAAGGGCGGCGGTGCGTTATGACGTCTTCGATGAGTAAAAGGAAAAGGAAGAAAAATAATTCAGTGGGGGCAGGCGCTCTCGGCCCGCTGTCGCAAAGAAGGTTGGGTTTTCTTTCCGCCCTGCGCTCGCATGGCGGGGTGTGGCTCCGAGTGCACCCTTCTCTCCCTTCCAGTCCACTCATCCCGAGCCCATGATGGACATCACAGAGGTCCTCGCCGACCTCACCTCCAACGTGGGCGACTCTGGCGAGTCTGGTGACACGCTGGACGGCGGCTCGGTCCTCGGCGCCGCACGCCGCTTTGCGGACGGCCGGCAGGTTGCGCGGGCGGTGAGCTCCGGCTACGGCCGCGGGTTGCACAAGGGCACCGGCCCTCTGCCAGTCGACTGGATGGGCAGCGTGCGACGGCTGCGCATGGCCGAGACGCCCGCGGAGCGAGCAGCGTACGCCGAGGCGCTCGCGACGCTGGCGCAGGCGCAGGCTCACACCGACGACATGCGCGAGGCGGGCGTGATCGAGGCTGTGGTGCCGCTGCTGCGCGAGGACAATGTAGCGAGCGTCGCCGGCGCCAACGCAATCCGGCATCTCGCGTGCGCCAACAACGACAACCGCGCCGCGGCGCGCGCGGCCGGCGCGATACCTCTCCTCGTCTCCATGCTGCGCTCGGTCGCCGACAAGGTGCACGCCGCGGAGGAGGAGCAGCTGCCGCCGAGCCGCGCCGTCGACGTGGCGCAAGCGGAGCGCGACGAGCGCGCCGCCCTCCACCAGCGACTCGACGCGGGCGACGGTGCGGGCGGGGGCGACGGCGCGGGCACGGCTGCAAGCTCGGGCGTGAGCGAGCACGAGGTGGCGGTGGTGCGGGCGGCGACGGCGGCGCTGCGCAACCTCTCCTTTCAGAACGCGGCCAACCGGGACGAGATCCGGTTCAGCGGCGGGCTCGACCCGCTCCTCGCCATCGTGGCGACGGGCAGCCCGCCGAGGCCGCCCCCCGCGGGGACGCGGTGGCGGGAGGCCGCCTACCGCGCAGCGTCGGCGCTCGAGAACCTTGCCGCCGACAATGCGGACAACGCCGCGAGCATCGTGGCGGCGGGCGTGGTGCCGGCGATGAAGAGCCTGCTGCTCGGGCTGCAGCCGGAGAAGCCGAGCCAGAAGGCCGCGCGCAAGGGGCGCGAGGCGCTCCTCCGCCTGCTCTCGCTCGACAGGGCGCGGCTGGGGCGAGAGGCGGAGGCGGCGGCGGAGGCGGCGGCGGAGGCGGCGGAGGCGGCGAGCCGCGCAAAGGCCGAGCTGCTGCTCGAGCTGCCGCGCCAGCCCCGCCGTGAGCCGCTCGGGGAGGGGTGCCGGCGGTCTCGGCCGGCAGACGCGGGGCGGCGGGCCGAGGTTGAGCGGGCCGTCTCGAGGACCGCCGCCATGGCGGCGCTGCACCGCGCGAGCGGCCACGCCGAGTGGGCGAGGGCGACGGTCGCGTACGCCGAGTCGCTCCTCCGCGGCGGTGGGAGGGAGGTGGGACCGCCGCCGCCGCCGCTGCGCGCCGCCGACAAGGAGATGCGCAGGGAGGTGCACGCGGCGGTGAGTGCCCACGCGCTCCTCCGCACGGCGGTGGCGACGCACGCCGAGGCGGTCGATGCCGGTTCGCAGGCGCTGTCGCTGCTCGTCGTGAGGCGAGAAGAAACGAGGGAGCGAGATAAATAAATAATATACGTAACGCAAAAACGGACACCACTCTCTTTGGGAATGCGTCATGAAAAGAAATGTGACGCCTCGCGTGTGGCTGGACAGGCTGCGGACCTACCACTGCCCCGTCACGACTTCGACACGCATATCCTCAGAGCCGCCACACTGGCCACATTCACGCCACGCCACACCGATGGCCGAGGAGGAAGCCGCGTCCACCTCGCCTGGCAAGGACGAGCTGCGACGGCTCATCGTCGCGGCTGGCGAGGAGCTGCGAGCCGCCCGGGCCGGCGGCGACAGTGGCGCGGGCGCCGACGTCCTCGCGCGGCTCCTCGACCTGAAGCAGCGGTACGAGGCGCTGACGGGCGAGGAGTTTCGGACCAAGTCGGTCAAGCGGAGCCGAAAGGAGGCCGCCGCGTCGGGCGCCGCGCCGTCGGCCGCACAGCCCAACCCCAACCCGCCAAAGCGCGCCAAGCAGGCCAAGGTGGACCTGGGACGCTTCACGCCGGCCGCTGACCCGATGCAGCTGCCTCCGCCCGCGAGCAGCTTCCCGCCCTGGGCGCCGCGCGACTTTTTCCGCTTCGAGGTGCTGCACACCTCGCGCAAGCCCGGCTCGCGGGCGCGCGTCGGCCGGATCCACACTCCGCACGGCGTGATCGAGACGCCCTGCTTTGTGCCGGTGGGGACGAACGGGGCGCTCAAGGCGGTGGACGAGCGGCAGGGTCGCGAGGCGGGGACGCAGCTCATGTTTTGCAACACCTACCACTTGCTCGTCCACCCCGGCCCGCGCGTGGTTGCTGGCGCGGGCGGGCTGCACCGCTTCATGAACCACGAGGGCCCAATTATCACCGACTCGGGCGGCTTCCAGGTCTTCTCGCTCGGAGAGACGACGGAGGACGATGTGGCGGAGATGAAGCGGCGCAAGGTGCGCGAGGGCAACTCTGCCTCCCTCCTCGCGACCGGCGAGCGCGGCGCCGTCTTCCGCTCGTACCACGACGGCACCACCATCGAGCCGACGCCATGCCGACCTGTGCACTCTTGATGATTGGTTGATGAATCAACTAGGCACCACCATCGAGCTGACGCCAGAGTCGTCGGTGGCGACGCAGAAGCAGCTCGCGTCGGACATCATCATCCCGCTCGACGAGCTGCCGCCGCACGGCATGTCGCGCGAGCGGCTGCACGCGTCCGTCCGCCTCTCGCACCGCTGGATGGCGCGCTCGCTCCGCGCGCACCTCGCCGAGCCGCGCCAGCAGGCCATGTACGGGGTGGTGCACGGCGGCACGGACGAGGAGCTGCGGCGCGAGTCGGCAGAGTACCTCGCCACGCTCCCTTTCGACGGCTTCGCGATCGGCGGCTCGCTCGGCGCCGACCGCGCCGAGATGCTCCAGCTGCTCCGCTTCCTCGTCCCGCTGCTGCCGGCCGACAAGCCGAACCACCTGCTCGGGATCGCCGACCCGGAGTCGAGCGCGGCGGTGGTGCCGCTCGGGATCGACACGATGGACTCGTGCAACCCGACCCGCATCGCGAGGCACGGCACGCTGCTCTGCACCGGCGGCGAGCTCAAGATCAAGCAGAGCCGCTTCCTCGACGACCACGGCCCGATCGACCCCGCCGTCGAGACGATCAGCCACTCGCGCGCCTACCTGCACCACCTCTTCAAGCAGCACGAGCCGCTCTACATGACCCTCGCCTCGCAGCACAACCTCATCTTCATGCACAAGCTGCTCGCCGACATGCGACAGAAGATCCTCAACGACGAGCTGTGAGCGAGGGGGCGCGTAGAGCGCGGCGCGCCTTGCAACGCGCGCAACAGCGACGCCTGTCGTCTCCCGCGGAAAACTGGGGGGGGGGGCATGAGGGGATTCAGAGATGAAGATGATCACAGACCTGGGAGAACGTACAAGATGGTTACTGTGTTGGTTATGGTTCTGTTCCTCACTTTCAGAGTTTACCAGATACCACTCTTACCACGGACGTAGGTGTCAGGGACGCATGTTCACTCGCGGTTACAGTCGCGCTCCCAATACGTGCGTCACTTTTGTGACAGGTCTCAGACTTCTGACTTGGAGCGGCCAATATATCTCGGTAACTATTGATACGGGGTGTGGACCCTGAGTTGACCAGGGGTTGTGCGCTGGGCCCTCCTGCTCGGCTCCAGCCAGTAGACAAGTCTTGTCATCAACAGAGTAGATGGATCTGACCTCGGGGCCGATGTGACCAAGCGCTGGTAGCGTGGTTTAACCTCAAACCCATGGTCTCACAGTGTGCCGGCAGTCGCCGAGCAGTGTCGCTCACACAAGCCGCAGCACAAGTGACTGAGGGCCAGTGAGGGCGAGCCCATCGCTGTCACAGCTGTGGCAGCCGCACAGTAGGCTGTGTCAACTGTGCAGAGTGTGTGAGCAGCAGAGGAGCTGCTCTCCAGGCTTCTGTCGCAAAGAGCTGCATGCCACCGAAAGCGCTGTCGAGGTTCGCCGAGCGCGGCGCAGGTTGGGGGACACCGTCACCGACGAGCGCGTTGGACTTTTCACTCCGGACAAAGACGGGTACACGCACACGAGCCGCGGTCGTATACCCGTCTTAGCGGCGAGGCGCGGGACCGTCTGTGGCGAAGTGGGTCGCGTCCCCCGATTTCCTCAACTCACGGTCCGCTCCCTCTATCTCGGTAACTTGCAGGACCGACGCCCCCTCTACTCGGAGCTAATGAACACCACACTGCACGCCTCTCACCACCACTCTACACTCACTTGCGTAGACGTTTGAGTAGACCCCCCCGCCTGAGGGCTCACCCCTCGCCTTCCCAGGGTCCCGACCCTCCCTGATTCGCTCTCTTGCTCGTCTCCCGAGCGTTATGCGACGACCGGTGTGGTCGTTTCCCTCGTTGTTGGTGTCGCTTTGGTGGGTTTAAAATTCTTTTCCTGTGTTAGTGCCAGTGCGCGCCAGTCCCGTGCCCAGTGTTGTGCGAGGCAGTTTAGTTTAAAATTCTTTTCGTGCGTGTGCGAGAGACTGGCGTGGTAAAATTCTTTTCCTTGATCGGCTGGGCTGGTGCGCCGCTGGCGGAGGACGTGTCCGAGACGACGTGGAGGCTGTGGTGATGTCGTACGAGCGCGCACCCGGCCGCCCGATGTGCCGCTACGACCTCAACTGCTACCGCAAGAATCCAGCTCACTGGAAGGAATTTGACCACTCCGACGGCCATGCCTTCCTCCTCGCTGCGACGCAGGCCAACCAGCAGAAGCGGTCTCGCGATGATGCGGTGGCGAGTCCTTCCACAGCGGCGGCCCCTGCCACTGCACCTGCGGTTGTGGCTGCTCCTGCGACTGCAGCCGCTGCACTCGCTCCTGCTACCGTCGCTGCTCCTGCCGCCTGCGCAGCTCCTCCTGCCACCTCAAGCGAGGAAGGTGCGAAGCGGGTCAAGAGGGCCGTGCCGACGCTTGGCTCCGCGGCAGGCGCCTCAAGCGACGCTCCGACGTCCAGGTCCGCCGAGGGTGCAAAGGGCGGCAGCCTTCACCTGCCGACTGCGGCAGAGGCAGCCGAGCGGCGCAGGCGGTCACGCGAGCGTGGCTTCGCTCCGGTCTCGACGCCCGCGCTGTCTCCAGAGGCGGCGGCAGCTCTTGCAGCGAGGACGTCTCCAGAGGCGGCGGCAGCTCTTGCAGCGAGGACGTCTCCAGAGGCGGCGGCAGCTCTTGCAGCGAGGACGTCTCCAGAGGCGGCGGCGCCTTCGGCGGTCGGAGCCGAGGCGGAGGGCGAGGAGGCGGACGGCGAGGAGGAGGTCCGTGTGGACGAGGCGGACGGCGAGGCGTACCCCTTGGCGTCCTTCCTCGAGGAGTACGGCGAGCTCGAGGGTCGCGCAAAGTGGGAGCGCGCTCCAGGCGGACCGGCACGCGGCTCGAGCGACGCTTCCGCGTCGCGAGCTGCACTCCCGCCCCGAGGCGAGGACCCGCCCGGAGGCGAGGACCCGCTCGGCCCGCTGCGGGACGGCGAGCAGCGCGAGGTGCAGGGCTCTGCTGCGCAGCCCTACGTGCTGAAGCGCACCGGAGGCCTGTACTCATGCTCCTGCCCCGCGTGGCGCAACCAGGGCGGAGGGCCGGAGGGACGCACGTGCAAGCACCTCAAGGGGCTGCGCGGGGAGGCTGCCGAGCTCGAGAGGGTGGGAAGCCGCAAGGCGTTCTACAACACGGGCGCGCGCGTCGCCGGCAAAGAGGCGGCGCCCACCAGCGCGGCGGCCGGCGCAGAGGCAGCGCGGAAGGCCACCGTCGCGCTCGCTTCTCAGTGGGACGAGAAGAAGGACGTGGCGGGGTGGGTGATGATGGAGAAGTTGGACGGCGAGCGGTGCCTCTGGGACGGCGAGGACGGCATGTGGACACGCAGCGGCAAGGCGCGCCTCCCGTCGCCCCCGCTCGCGCCACCCTCTCCCCTCTCCCGCTCTCGGCCCCACCGCCCCCTCTCCCGTCCTACGCCTCACCTCCTCTCTTGCTGGCGCAGCGGGTCGTCGCACCATCCTCCTTCCTGGCTGGCCTCCCGAGGGGCATCACGCTCGACGGGGAGCTCTGGATGGGGCGCGGACACTTCCAGACCACGATGACGGCTCGTAGCCACCCCCTCCCTCCCCCATGCCTCGCCTCTAGCCGCTCGCCAGGCTGGCGGCGCCGCCCACCGACGCCTCCTCCCGTCCGGCTGTGCACAGGTGGTGCGCCGCCAGGACGCGCCCAAGGAGTGGGAGCGGGTCACCTTCACCGTCTACGACGCGCCCGGCGCTCCCGGCGGCATTGCGGACCGGCTCGCCGCCGCCCGCGCCGCCCTCCCGGCGACGCCCGACGCTTCGCTCGGCCTCGACGCGCAGACGGCGGCGGCGGCGGGCGGCGCTGCCGTCCTGGCGCACGAGGTTTGCCGCGGCGCGGAGCACGTCAAGCAGCGGCTCGCCGAGGTGGAGGCTGCGGGCGGCGAGGGCCTCATCCTGCGCCACCCGACGGCGGCCCACCGCGGAGGGCGCACCACGGACGTGCTCAAGGTCAAGTCGAAGAAGGACGACGAGGCGCTCGTGATTGGGCACGAGCCCGGCAAGGGGAAGCACGAGGGCCGCCTCGGCGCGCTCCTCTGCAAGCTGCGGTCGGGCGTCACCTTCAAGGTGGGCACCGGCTTTTCGGACGCGGAGCGCGAGGACCCGCCGCCCGTCGGCAGCGTTGTCACCTTCCAGTACTTTGAGCTGACCGAGGCGCGGGTGCCGCGCTTCCCCGCCTACCAGAGGGTTCGGCCCGACGTCGCCGCGTCCGACTTTCGGTGAGGGTGAGAAGCGGTGGTGGTGCTGGTGGCCGCGTCGTGTGCGCGGCAGAGCGGGTACGTACCCAACGTTTTCTCGTTTGCCCTCGCTGCAAAAGCCTAGGGCTAGGCAAAAGCTTGACTTTGGGGAGAATCCTACATAGTAGGATCTTCAGACATTTTGACGGATGACCAAAATCACCCCGTTTTTGCCCATTTTCGGCCATCCGTCAAAACATCTGAAGATCCTACAGAGGATTCTCCCCAAACCTTGCTCAGCTGGTCCAGCATGGGTCGTAGGCCAGGCCTAGGCAAAGAAACCAGTACCTCAACCGGCTTCCCTGAGGGTCACAGCTCGGTGATCGCGCCGGCCGGACACCACTGAGACGGCCGATCCGGCTGCGATCCAGGCATTTGAACGCGACCTTCGCTTCGGGGGCGAAGACACATGGGCTCTGTGGCTCTCAGACTGGACTCCTCTTGGTCCCTTCTGATGCCCTAGGCCACACCTGGGCCTTACCTGGGCTTCTAGGGGCCGGGCAGGGTTTGCCCCCCGGAACTGGCCCGGGGAATCACTTAAGGCTGATTGGGATGGCTGACTGGATCAGTTCACGGGGGATGTCATGCCTACTCGAGTACCGGTAGGAGGTAGATGGTTGCTCCGCCGCCGGACAGCCCTCCCCACACCACCCCCGCTCGCCCAGGGATCTACAACGCTGTCTTAATTAAGGTCCGTCCTGTGTGGGCTCCGCCTGCGCTCGGCACAGCTCGGCACCGGGCACCGACTCGGTGTACAAAATGCCCCTGCCGGCGAACCCTCACAGCTCACAGCACACAAAACTCTCTCTGTACTCTGTGAAGCTCGCACCTCAACCTCTCATAGACCAGCGCGCAGCGCCATTATCGGAGTTTTTTCTCCATCCAAGATGTAAAAAGAAATCGCTACTGCGAGACGCCCGCGAACGAACTGTACACACACACACACACACACACACACACACACACACACACACACACACACACACACACACACACACACACACACACACACACACACACACACACACACACACACACACACACACACACACACATGCACAGACACACAGCCCCTTCCCCTTCCCCCTCAAGACCTCAAGGACGAGGACACACACAGGACGCACCTCTAGCGAAGCCCACATTGTATGTGGGAGACTCCTGCCGCCGCCCCTGCCACCCCTGTCAGTGTGCCTGTGGTATAGCGAGAGGCTGCCAGTGAGAAACTGGAGGCAGGCCGCCAGATGGAGATGAGTTGACGCTACAAGTCTGGCCGAAACGGCCTTCACACCCACTGGCGGGCAGCCGGCGCCGGCGGGGACGCTGGCCGCGAGGCCGGGGCGCGCGGGCGGGCTCGGGCGGGCGCAGGGGCGCAAAGCATACCGGTCGGCGAGGCCATCTTGCGACGGCTACCGGTTCGCACCGATTGCATTCTACCGGACGAGGACGCACCGTATTGAAAAGAAGTGTGAACGTGAATACCGCCCTTACTAGAGGCCAAATGTGAGAAGGGCGGCCGACGGGGATCCGGGGTTAGGGTTTTCGGAGGTGGGGAATTCGAAAATCGAGGTCCCAGAGGCTCAGGAGGTGACCCCGGTGGGGCCGGCCTACCTCTAGGAGCCATATATGCGCGTCTTGTCTCTCGAGGGTGGGGGCCGTAGCCGTAGCGCGGCTGCGTCTAGGGCGCGAGCGCGAGCGGTCGCGGTCGCGCGATTGTCCGCGGTCGAAGGAGCGCCACCGCCGCGCCCGCTCCTCTTCGTCCGCCTTCTGCATGGTCGCCGCGCGGCGCACCACGGCGCGCCGAATGATGTCTCGGTGGCATGGCAGGCCATCCATCGGACACGTGCAGCCGATGACTATTGGGCGCCCGCCGCCACCTTGCCGGCCATCACGTCGAGCGTGGCGCGCATCTTGCACGGCGCCCGGCGCTCCCGCTTGTCCTCCCAGCTTTCGCGCGGCACGACGCCCTTCGCATAGGAGGCTCGTGCAGCCTGCGCCCGTGCCGCCGGGTGCAACTTTGTCCTGTACGAGAGGGGAATCCCTGGGACCCTGTCGTGTGGGTGAACCCTGCCCAGCCCCCCTCCGCCGTGTCGCGATGCGCTCCCCACTCCCGTTCCCCTGTGTCCCTGATCGCCCTTCCAAAATCCTGCTTGTGCAGGTGGGGACCCTGTCCTCGTCCCATCCCTCGTTCGGTGTCTATTTTCTTTCTTTCTTGTCATTTTGTTTCCGCTTTCTCTTGCTCACATAAACGCACAACCCCGGGCCCGAAATCGCACCGAGCTGTGAATTCTTTCTTGGTTTGCCTGTGATAGTGCTAGCACGCGCCAGTCCGCTCCTGTGTCGAGCCTGTCTGCTGTGAGAGAGACTTTGAGAAAGAGAAAGCGGATACAAAACAAGAACACAACGCACTCTCTCACATGACAAGCGATCCCACGACAGCGATTGTGGGGACTACATGATCCGTACGTGAAGGGTGGAGGGGCCCGTCCGCGGAGCTAGGCGGTACGGGCGCCCTCCACTGCGGCTGAGCGCAACAAGCCGTCTGCCGTTTGCTTGTTCGTGACCCAGTTGGTGCGCATCTTTGCGCGCCTGCTTGTTGATGTTTTCGGCGTCGCCCGCCACCGCCGCCATGGAGATCTGCTGCGTGTGGTGGACGACGAAGGAGGAGGCGCTCGCCGACGCCGCCCCGTACACCGTCCGGTCCGTGTTGGTGCCACCCGCCGCTTCCTTGGCGAACACGTGGAGGAACTGCTTGGTGGGCGGCGCAATGCCACCCAAAGTTTCCACGTACCACGAGCACCAGCCGCGTTATGGAAGAGAAAGAAAAACTCAAATTAGGGATGGGAGGAGGACAGGGTCCCCACCTGCACGAGCAGGATCTTGGAAGGACGATACAGTAACCTGGTTTTTTCTCTTTATGCATTACGGTATTGACCGCGCAAGATATAAAGGGTGGCTATTAAAGGGCTCTGCCCGCAAGGCGCCCGCGTCGCAGACGCGGTACCATTGACAAATCTGCAATATACCCCCACACGAACAAATAGCCACCTCCGAATACCGCGTGCAGAAACCATGTGATCTGAGCCGTGGACGGACGCAAGCCTTCACAGCTGGTGCCAAGACATTCGTAAAATTGAAGCCAAGAACGTCCGCCAAATCCGTGCTAGGGAAAGCTGATCGAGCCCAGCGTGCCCGCGGCCGCCTCCCGCGCAGCACCGCCGCAGGGGACGACACGCTTCGGAATCGGATCGAGCCCATGCACGGGCAAAGAAGGATGCTGCAGAAGCGGTTGGAGAGAGGCAGCCGGCGTCTGCCGTCACAACGAGTCCCAGCGCTGGTTGGACATGCGCGTCGGCTCGCCCGAGGACTGCTGTCGCGACCCTCCCGTCGTGACGCAGCCTCCGACGAGCTCTGCAACCGAGGAGAGTGAGGGTGCGCCTCCCCTCACTGCTGGCCTGGCTGCGCACCCCCACAAAGCACCCCTCGAGCATCTCTACAAGTACAAGTACAAGGGCGACCTTCTCCAAGTCGTCAACGCGCCCGGCGGCTCCGGCAAGACTTAGCCTTGGCCACCCTCCTTGCGGAGCAGGAGGAGATCCGCTCTCGGTCGGCAACGTGGCAGCTAGTCGAGAGACTCGGTAGTTGTGACCCCCCTCTGAGCGTGAGGACAGGAGAGAGAGAGCTTTTGTGGTGTTGGTGTACGCAATAACGGGACAGGGTGGTTGTTCTCTCTATCTCCTCTTCTAGCTCTTAGCATGAGCTGCGCCCGGTGTCCGACCCCTTTTGCGCAGCAACACATTAAACTTTTAGGCCCTCCAAATTCGGGTCGGAGCGTAGCGGAGTGGGCCCCGAGTTTGAAAAGGGCGACGGACGCGTGCGTCCTAGCCTCCAACAACGCCTCCCCGGCGCAGAGGGGCCCCCGGAGGGATGCTCAACCGCTCCCCGAGGGGGGGGGGGGGGGACTCCTTTTGCCAGTGTTTTATCGCATGCGCTCCAGGCTCTTCTCCCTCTTCCGACCAGCCGCGCTCGGCGGCTGCGCGCTCGCTGCCCAGTCCTCCCTCTCCGAGAACTTCCTCTTTCGCCGCGAATGCAAAGACGAGACGTCGAACCAGGAATCAGGACTCTGCACGGGCGACGCCTCAGATTACGAGCTGCGGCAGAGGCTCGGCGAGGGCACCTTCGCGGAGGTGCGACTAGCGACTCACGTTCGCACTGGCGAGCAGCTTGCATGCAAGCTGGTGCGTAAGAAAGGCACGTGCCGCAAGGAGCTCGAGCACGAGGTTGCAGTGCTGCAGGCTGTCGGTCAGCACAAGCACATCGTTTGCCTTCGAGACACCTTTGACACGGAGGACGCGTGGGCCCTCGTGCTCGAGCTCGTCTCCGGAGGCGAGGTCTTCGATCGGGTCGTCGAGACGGGCCACTTCTCGGAGAGGGACGCGGCGGCCATTGTGCGGCAGGTCGCCTCCGCGCTGATGCACATCCACCGCCGCGGCATCGTGCACCGCGACCTCAAGCCAGAGAACCTGCTGCTGGTGAGCGGCGAGCACGACGCCGACGTCAAGCTCTGCGACTTTGGACTGAGCGTCTTCACCGGAGAGGGAGCGCCGCCGCTGCGGGGCGTGGTCGGGACCATCGCGTACATGTCGCCCGAGCAGCTTCGCGGCGACGAGTTTGGCTCCGAGGCCGCCGTGGACACAGCTACTCTACGCACCAGCCCAAGCAGTAGTAGTGATCGATCTTCCAACAGGAGCCGCAGCGGTCCCACGCGGGCGTGACGAGCCCAGGTGGACCTGTGTTCACCTTGCCTTACCTTGCCAGCCCCTCCCCGGCGGCAGGTGGACCTGTGGGCGCTCGGCGTGATCCTGCACCTCTCCTCCTCGTCGGGCACCTCGAAGGAGCCCCTCCTTGAGCCCCGGTGGTACCTCCTCCCATAGGTACCTCCTCCTCGTCGGGTACCACCCCTTCGACCCGGCCGGCATGGCGGACGACCTCGCGCTGAGCCGCGCCATCCTCGCCCACAAGTACGACGGCTGCAGCAGCACGGAGTGGGCCTCCGTCTCCCCCGAGGCGCGGGCCGTCGTCCGGCTCCTCCTCGCCCCCGACCCGCGCGAGCGGGCCACCGTGCGGCAGCTGCTCGCCTCGCCGTGGGTGGGCGCCGACGCGGCCTCCTCCTCGGCCGCCACCGAGCCCCTCCCCGTCGGCGAGCGGCTGCGCGGCTTCAACGAGGCGCGAAAGACTTGGCGCACCGCCATCCGCGCGGCGGCGCTGATCGGCCGTGCGCCGAGCCGAGGGACGGCGCACGGCGCGGAGAGCCTCCCGCACGGAGCCCTCGAGGAGCTGCAGGCCGCCTCGCCCCGCCCCGAACCCGAGGCCCTAGCCCCGTCGCCCCATCGGAGCCGTGGAGCTGCAGGCCGCCTTCGCCGCCTACGACACGGACGGCTCGGGCACCATCGAGGCGGACGAGCTGCGCACGGCGATGCTCTCGCTCGGCGTGGGGGAGAGCGCGGCGGCGGAGCGGACGCTGCAGGCGACGGGCCACCGAACGGGCGACGGCCTCGTGATCAGCTTCGACGATTTCGTCGCCGCGGTCGGGCCTGTGTACGAGCACTCGCGCGTCGCGCTGCGGCGCGCTTTCGACATCTTCGACGCCGACCGCAGCGGCGGCATCGACAAGGCGGAGCTGCGCTCCTTCCTCTCGAAGCTGCGGATGCTGCCCGCCGACGAGGCCGAGGGCGAGGCGGCCGTCGAGGCGATGTGGGCGCAGGCCGACGTGAACCACGACGGCTCCATCAGCTTTGACGAATTTAGCCGCCTGTTCCACGACTACCGGTACAACTCGGTCTCGGAGGCGCGCTGAGATGGAGGAGCCGCCGCCTGGTCACCTCCTCTGTACATGTCACATGTAACGTTTATGGGGATGTCCTGCTGTGGGAAGGACTGAGCACCGGCCACCGGCCATCGCGCCGACAGTTGACAGCAAAAACTGCAAACTTAGGGGAACAAAACATGAAACCTCTCTGTACTCTCTCTGTGGAACCACAAAATCGTTATGTGTATGTGTACGTGGTCGTGCGGGCGGTGGCGGCGGTGGTGGCGGTGGCGGTGGTGGCAACGGCGGCGGTGGCGGTGGTGGCTCTCGATTCGAAGGCGCTAGGCGGTGGCGGTGGGCCGGCGTGGTTAAACTTAAAGCCGTTTGGGAGCTGAACAGTGTTGCTAGTGTTAACAGTAACAACAGAACAACAGTGGGGCTCCCCAACAACAGTAGCTAGCGTTAGGCCAGCTGAACAACAATAAGGAAGGCCTACCAGTGACCCACGACGATCTCCAGCGTCCGGTGCGGGTAATACCCGCGAAAATACCCTGGAAAACCCAGGTATTTTCGGGGTTTACCCGGGTTTTTTGGCATTTTCTGCTTGCTGACCGCTGAACAACAGTAACAACAGTAACAAACAGTAACAGCATGGGCTGCGGTGAACACTTGAACAACGTTAAGGATTTCAGCCAACAAAGTTAATGTTAAAGAGCTCTGCCGGTGGTGGCAGTGGTGGCGAGGGTGGGGGTGGGGGTGGCGGTGAGGGTGGTGGCGAGGGTGGTGGTGGTGTGGGGGGGGATGGTGGCGGTGGGTGTGTTGGGGGGGGGGGGGGGCGGAGGGGGCTTCGGGGCGAGGGAGGGGGCGGCAAGGGCGGAGG